CTTCAAGATTGATCAAGTACTCATAATAATCTTCAAATTAAGATAGTCTTATTAATAACAATACGTTTATGAAAAATATAGATATTACCTTTCCATGATCTAATTGGGCCCTTTTCATTTTCGAAAGTTGTATTAAAAATCGGCTTTTTTGTTACAATCTGCTGATAGTAAAAGCTTTCACCATTCATCTCGTTTTAATTAAATGTCCGCCACGCAAAAGGTTTTTCGGTAATCAGTTGGTATAGATCTCTAGAGCTGTAAACATAATTAGGCAGCTGTCCAGAGTAAAAGCTTCGCGTCACATTCTGAATACGTGGATACATTTTTTTGCTGCAGTTTCTTTTATAAAAACTAAAAAATTCTGTCAAAGTCAAATCAGGCGCACCTTCACGCTTTTCATAAATGTCTATTTTCCAAAACGTTTAGTGTCGGTATTTCAGTTTTTTTTATATCATCATTGCTTTTAGCGCATTACCAACATGAGTTCTTGCAAAAATTTCATTGGAACTACTATCAATATCCTTGATGTCATCTCGCAATCTTTTACTGTCTTGACCGAGTAAGCTGGTATTAATAAAGATAACGTTACGAGAATTACTATGCTTTCTCCATCCCAAGACATCGTATGTTGCTTCAACTGCACCAACAATTCTTGTCGCATAATGCTCTCTCTCAGACACATAAGATGTTCTCTTATAGTATCCTTGGTTTTGTTGCTGAATATTTTTCAAAAGGATTTTTGCTTCATAATCATCCTTTGCCAAATACTTTGCTAAATATATTACTGCTTGTGGTCCATCATTGTACTGAATATCCATGCTGGTGCGGAAAACTGCTAGAAGATACGGGTTGTAATTGTTCACGTAAGCATCACCAACGTCTCTTTAGTAGATGCAGCGATGTTCAGTATCAAGTTCAGTGGAAGGAGCGTAAGGCTTAGGATATCCAAATCTACATTTTTCTGTAGGGTCACCTCTTTTACAATAGCTTTTGTTTAAAATAATTAATTAATACGGTAACGCATAAAAAGGAGTTTTAGCTTACTTGTCATTGCATCTGTGAATTTGCAGGTTATTTACTAAACTATGCAGAAGAGGATCGTCAATACTTGTGCCAGGTGGAAAACTTGTATGAACCACATTCATATCGATAAGCTCTTGTGCAGATTTTTCAGTCCAAAGAACCATATAAATGTGTGGGCTTCCACGATCTTGAATCTCCATGACCCAGCTATAATCTTTGATACCACCAATTTGTCTGGCAAAGTGACCTTGAATATAGATTTTAAAAAACCTTAACCATCTTCTCCTGAAGTGTTGCGATAATAATACAGGGTCTTCCCAAGGGAACTTGGTATCTTCATCTAGAATGTTTTTAAAGTCTGCACTTTTGTCATCACAAGTAAATGTTAAAAAAAGTTGAGGAGCACCAAGATTTTCAAATATACACTGGAGATCCAAAAAGTTTTTTCTTTTGTATGCATATGATGACCGAATCTGAGGAGGTACAGTAGAGACAATGTTCTTGTTGAGTTTTCCTGTATTTTGATTCACAACATCCTTTTGAGTTAAATTTTCTCTGCCTTTAGTTGAAACCACGAATCAATTAGGAGCAGCGATATTTTTTTTTTCAGTAAGATCGAGCATGAAGAATAAAAAAGAAGGGTCTCGGGCAAAACGTCTATCTCTCATAAGAAGCCTCTGCTTCGCATAAGCTGCAATACTTGTTTCATTCCACGTAGCATTTGCAACACCGCCTTGATTTTCTGGTATACCATAAGCTCCTAATCGATTGTCAAACTCATAGGTATTAGTCGGTACCATGGAGTAGTGACCGGTGCATGTTGGATAGAGATGTGGAAAAAGCAAGGCCAAGAGACTAGGGTGGGAGTACCTAATCATTTTACCAACATCATCTTTACCTACAATCAACTCTTTGAATTCAACATCGGTAGCCTGGGGGTTTACATCGTTAATGGAAAACAAAGCATTGTTGACCCAGCGTTTATCAATTCCGACATGCTTTTTGTTCTCGGAAACATGATAATTTACCAAGGCGTAGGTTAATTTTGGCAAATCATAGCGGGCTAACAAGCGATGTACACGTTGAAGAGCTTGATATGCTTGCTTCACCTTGGTCTTCATAATGTTTGCAGGATCACCACGTTGAAAAAATAGTCCCAAGGTTCCACCATAAGCCATTTCAGCAAATTCATAGTTATGCGTCGCATACATGGTACCCTTCACCTCGTAATGACCAATTCTTCTATGTAACAGCGTGTATTTTCTTGTTATTTGCGACATAAGCTTAATTGGAGACAAAGCCGACTTCTCTCTATAGTTTAAGTCTTTAGTTTAAGTCTTTAGTTTCAGGGATTAAATCGCCTATAGCATAATTATTAGTCGATATTTAGAGCTGCTATTAAAGTTTTATATCTTACCAGGATACGTTAACGTGACAACGGCATCCTCATCCATCTTGAAATGCTGCAGACAGACCATCTTCTTGGTTACATCATTGGGATTTGACAAAGGGGTCAATTTCCATTTCAAACAAGGAAAACTGAATAAGTCTGAAAACCGGCGAAACTTTTGATCCTCAGGATAAAGAACTTGCATGCAGACACAGCAGTAACCGTCGGGCTTGAGCATTGTAAACTCTTGGAATGAATTAATTTGCTTTTTTTGAAAAGCATTAAAGGTAGATAAATTTGGGTCTTCGATTCTCCAAGAGAAAAACATGATAGTTTAATATATTGTTGAAGTCATTACCTGTGTTTATAGGGCCAGTATTTATATTCGTTTTTAAACACGTTCTTTAACTATATTTTTAATTCAATAACACCACTACAATAATTTTCAGATGTGATTCTTTTTGATTTCATTTTTGTTTCCATTTTAAAAAAAATTGATTTTACTTTGTGAAATAATGGACAACGTGATCCAAGTGAACAAAAAAAGCAAACGCAAAAGAAAACAAAACGCAATCACAAAAGGGACAAGCAAGAAGAAAAGAAGCAAAACTACCAAGGAGACAAAAAAAAACTAGTTCTCCATTTCTTCATCATCGGTAGTTCGGGAGCCGGCGGGGACGACAAAGATCTCAACAGAGAACGGCATGTGATCATTTAGCAGATTTCTGAGAGAGAGGTTTGGGTTGGCCCAATCCTCCAAACGACGAACACTCTCATTGTACGAATATGTACTCTTAATCACACGAGGAACAGGGCGGTTAGTGTTGGGTTCAGTTGTTGGACGTGTCACCGACTCCACAACAGTAACCGGATTGTAATTGGACATTATCAACCCTTCAGATACTATCATAAAATGAAGTAGCAAAATTAGCTACATAATAACTTGTATATAATCAAAAAAAAAAACTCACCAAGCTTCTCATAAGAGGTATTTAACTGAGTGGCGAATGCTTCAACATTCAACCCCTTGCCCATCACCATGTCCTCGTTGTAAATGTTCTCAAAAACGTACTTGCACAAAATGTACTTGAGCTTCAGGAACTTGTGATTTTTCTCCAAATCACGGACTCGAATTTTTGTGGCTGTTGTGCCGATGATGTTTCCATCAACATCCAAGGTGGGAAGAGGTCGGGCACTATCGAAACTCAAACGAATACTTTAAAAAGCCCTTGTGCTATCATCAAACGTGTACGCTGTCACGTTCAATGGGCCTATATAGAAGTGTTAGATTTGTTAGGATAATAGAAACATTTAGAATATTTACCTGTCAGGTGGTGGCGGCTTCCTACATCACAGTACCGGATGAAATAGTAAATCATCGCAGGATTCGACACATAAAGCTTGACTCTCATGCCAGAGTCAATGGCTTTGGCCTCTAACATAACGTTTCGAGCTGTTACTCGAAATGTGGGAGCACTGGTAATAGTGCAATCGGTGAGTTCTCCAAGAAGCATGTTGTAAATTTGTATTAGTTATGAAAATAATATGGTTCAATTTTTCTTAAGTATACTTGCTTATATACCCGTAAGCATTTTATAAATATGGAAAGTTATTCCATTAATCGAAATTATCGCAAATAAAATACAAAATTCACGAGAATCGATGATGTAACTCATGAATTATGTATAATAGATTAAGAATTGATAAAACCACGGGAATCGCATCAGATGATATTGTCAATCAGTCAAACACATATGCGTACGTTGGTGTCTTATGTGTCAGGTACAATATATTCTGTCAAACAGTAGTTCAGAATATAAATTTTTCTCTTCTCTATTTTGTTTAATAATACAGAAATATGTCTTCTAAAGTTTGCAGGATTTAGTTTAAAACCAATAAGGACCAAATTGCATATATTGCATGGTCCGAGCATGTTGGGTTTTTTTTATTAAAAATAAGGTATCACAAAGTCTCAAATAGCCTATAATACAATAAACATTACACAAATGCATTCAATGAATGTGCTACACATATGTATTACAACAGTACCGTGTCACTGTTATAGCACAATTATGTTGCCAAACAAAATCGACTTCGGTATTGGTTTATACATAATTCTAATGAAAGCGGGATAACACAGAATGGTGAAAACTTTCTATACGTACAGCAGAGGTGGTGTCGAAGAAAAAAAAAGTTGCCTGACAATTTTTTTATGGACCCTAAACTCATTTTTATTATGACAATAAAAAACCTGATATCCTTATCAATCTATCATACTATTATTTTATGCAAATAGTTAGCAGTCATTTTTGAAAAATTGGATTTTCAAAAAAAAAAACATGTGATGATGACAAAGTTGTGGACTTAAAGAATTAAATTGTTTGTATCCGGCATCATGAAAGATGTTGGAAGTATCTGGTGATGACAATAAAAATTTAATTCTAAATGCACGTGTACGGAAGCTCAATAAAACCTTACACAATAAACACGCATGTAATACAATGCAATTGACCATAGACCTTTACGTATTATATAACACACATGTATTGACAAAGGAAAAAACAGCTACAATATAATTTTTTAAAATATGCAATCCATTGTTTCCACGTTTGTAGGGCTCCTGTTTCCCCATACATTGCGAGTGGATGAAGAGAAGGGGAACGTTTATTTTTTGCTTTATGAAGCATACTTTGGGTAATGTATAAAACTTTGGGTGTTTAATTAAACATTATAAACTTGGTTTAAAACTGACCAAGTTTTTTTCCGCTTACGTATCTAAAAAGACGTTACAGTGTAAAGGTGATCGGAACAAAAAATATAATAGAGGACTCTTTCAAAGCTTATAATTCTTCATGGGATATCAAATATTTAAAGGAAATAAAGGATCCCATTCTCATGGTCGCAACTGGCAACATGGACCAGCAACCAACGGTTTCTGGGTTTTTAGGAAGGGCTGTAGAAGAGAAATTTCATTTGGCAGTTATTGCACTAAGAATAATGCCATGTATTCCATTGGTTACAGAGACTTTGAAAGATATGGTTCATCCAGACATAGGCCCCGTACAAATTACCAAAGGTGTTAGAGAAGGATATTTTTATGTAAATCTGTCACTCAATCAAGATTTTACGAATGGCCCTGAATTTTACGCCTCTAATACAGTGGATGAAGAGCTTGGTAAAATTTAGTTAAAATAGTGCCTGCACAAAATTTAATTAAACTTCTAATGTTGCGTTTTATCAGATGATTTCGAATTAGAAATTCTTGAAAGGGATCAGAGAAGATCAGGCAAAGTTCATGATGACGAAGACAAAATTGAAGAAAATACAACCAACAGCAATACAAAAAGCAGGACAAATAACCAGAATTTCGATGAAGATGATAATAAAAATGAACCATTTTTCCCAGAAAATTATAACTATGACAATGCACGAAGATTTTCGGAATCCACTGCTGCTTCTTTGCAGTCGACAAATTTAAAAGGACCCATTGAAAAGCCATTGACAGAAGATGAAATTTTTTGTAGAAAATGTGATGACTGAATTAAATAATGAGAAGGGACTATTAGCAGATCACATACAAAAAAATAACAGGGACATTATCGAACTGGATTCTGAACTTGAAGAAGCTTCTGACCACAATTACGGTGAAGATTCTGGAGGTGATCAATAATAATACATATCCACATATATTTACAAACACTTAAGCCTTGTGTTAATACGTATATTTTTATTTTTAACCTTCATCAAAAAACATTTTGACGATAGCGATTGCTCCAATCAAACAATAACAGCGTCAAACCGAACCTCTGAAATAACACCCGCTAAAACGGTATAGAAAGCACCCAAGAATACTGTTAATAGAATAGCATCTGATTCTACTGAGGCCGAATCTTCAAGAGCATTCAACTGTAAGTATTAAAAAATTATAAATAAAGCACCTCATTTTTAATGAGAAAACTGCTTACATAATTATTCATCCATACATTTCAAAGTTTTGATTAGACAGGATAGTTTTTCGGACTCGCCTTGTATGCAAAGTTTTAGGGGAATGACATTGGATGACGACAATACGATTTCCAAAGAAAACAGCAAGGGGAAACAAAAGATGGATTTCAGAGTAAATGTGGAAACCTTAGGAAACAGTGACTCTAGGTATGATGTATCATTTAATATATTTAACTCCTTCAGTAAGATTTGACAATCATATATTATTTTGACGTAGAGAGCCATCGATAATGTCTGATATATCTATGACATCGGATAATCACCAGATTGAAAACGAAAACAGTATAAATTCAAATGCTGAAAGTGCTAGTAAGATTTCGCTTTACATTTTCTTGAATAAAATGCTGGTTATTCAAATTTTTAGCTACCAAATTATCTTTATAAATAGTTACTTCAGTTTCTGTGTACAGTCAAGAAAGTGGAGGGTCAAATTCCAGAAAACGAATGAGTAGATCTTTTGATCCGAACAGCCAAGAAGACGTTGTAAGTTTGTAGAATACAACAGTCTAAAGCAATTATCTAAACTTACATTCTTATCAATAGGGAAAACGAATAAAGTCAACTGAAACAATTTCTGATGAAAGAACCATAGTTCGAAATGCTGTCGAAATGCGAGGAAGAGGAAGACCTAAAAAAGCTATATCAGCTGAACAGGTTGACTTACCAGAAAAACCAAGAAGGGGAAGAGGGCGTCCATCAAAGTCAGTTCATAATGAAAACCAAGGAACAATACAAACTTTCTTTTCTTCTATTACAAAAAAAATGAATTGACAAACTATGATGTTATACTCACAACAAAACTATGCGCCACATAAACGTTATCTAATTTTGTAACGCAAAAAAAAAGAAAGAAAAAGAAAAACTAATGGCTTATGCCTGATTCCAAAAAAAAACTTGAATATATAACATACCTTTGATGATATATATATATATATAAGTATTACATTGATAAGATTATAGACAGGAATCAGCCAAGTGACAATAATCAGCATACTTCTGCTATTAATTATTATAACTATATTTGTTTCGGCAAACCGATTTAGCATCTCTAGCATTGCTACATTACCATCTTTTTTTATCTGCTCGGGAGCATGACTTATCAAGCGTCTTGGGGGTGGGGTTTAAAAAAAAGAAACATCTTCTGAAAAAAGATCATAATTTAACGAAGAAAATGTTGATAAGAGTTGATAAGATTCATTGCCATTAATTTTTGTATCATGGCCTTGATGTATTGCTAGCATTAAAAGTATACTGCTAGTTATAAGCTTGCCCTTTTTAAATTTGTATTTTGATTGCAATTGGTACCACAGCTGTAATTTGTTATTTCAAGTTATAAAAATTAACATTTTGACATAGCTTAAACATTATCAGTACGTTTAATATAAAAAAAGCTAAACAGGCAGTGGATCCAAATGCGTACTTCTTTTTTGATAAAAATATGGAAAGCCTGCTAGTCAAGAAGACAAGACTGAAGTAATAATGTCTTCTAGTTTTTAAGTTGTATATTCTATAGTATTGGGACTGTTGAACCGTTTGGATGATATCGATAAAAATGGATCTGAAGAACTAAGCGACGGAGTATCATGTAAAATTTAAAAAAAAATCACAATTGCTATTTTATCATTTCACTTAGGCACATAAAGAATAGGTATTAACAACCGTCAAGTGAAAAATCCCAAGAGATATATAAAAATTGTCACAGACGTAAGCTATTTTTCAGACACATCTTAATTTATAAACGGTAAGAAAAAAAGCTTGTACAACAAGCAGTGAGTTTCTGAAATCCCTATTGGCCGTAAAAAAATAATCAGGTAATTTTATGTTACAAAGTGAAGTAGAGAATAACCCGGACCATAAGTGTAGCACGCCATAATATTTAAGGAAATAAACTTTCAGAATAAAATTAAAACCTCTTTAATTGTAGCAATAGGAAAACTCCAAAGATACCCTATGAATGTATTCTAGCTGAAAAACAATTAAGGAGGAAATGAATGTTAGCTTGATTATTACTGATGGTACGGACAAACCTGAATTTAAATTACAGACGGCAGTACAATAAAAAATAACTTTCGATCACCAAATCGATAATTTTTCAGCAGACAGATTGAATTGAATATAATTTCTTGATTGGAATCTATTTAACACAGTTAAATGTTTTACGTTGAGACATCTATTAAACACTCCAATGATTGGGATCTGAGGGTTGAGCGCAAAGTTTTAAAAGTTATTCGCCTTCAATTTTAAAAGAATTAAAGCACGAGCAAGGAAAAAAGCACTTAAAATCAAGTTTTAATATTTGTAGAATATTTGAATCAGGAAAAAAAAGTTATTGTCTCTTAATACATCAGATACAATGAACGACATATTTTTTTTTTGTTCCCCGTTCTTTAGTAATACATAGAAAAAAAAAAGTTGGCCAATGACTGATTTTATTTGAATAAATACAAATAAAGAAAGGTACTGTAGTACGTATTCCCTAATATGTGAAAAAAAAAAAAATTAAAATAATTCATAAAAAAATAAAAATAAAATACTTCTGATATGTTGTTTGACTACAAATGTTTACAGAAGGTAGTTATTGATATATTGAGCGAATATACAAAAAGAAGAAGTAATTCTCATGAACAAAAAACGTTATTATTTATGATAGTGTTTGAACATTTTGATTATCTTCAAAATTTTTCCTGATTTTTTTTTGAATTTATCGTGAATATTCCCATAAAAGGTAGAGGATGGTTACAAATTGGTACAAAAAAGGCGATTTTTTTGGCTGCGTTTCGGCAATAACTACCAATATGTAAAAACGGTGTCCGTATAATTACCCTTAAACAATGCAATCAAGATTAAAGGGCATTACAATGCTTTAAAAATGTATATGTCTTTATTCATTATGCCATTGTTTTGCTATTTACATATACATATATTTATAAGTCAGTACAAGCTACTTCACCAATTGCTCTCTGGAAATCCTCGGCAATCGTCATCTGTCGCAATCGCGGAATTAACTACTTATCTTTAATGAAACAATTGACAAAATCTTCAAATTCATCGGCTGTGAATTTTTTAAGTCCACTTGGTGTACAAAATAATACAAGTTCAAACACACCAAGTTTAAAATGTTGTAAAAGTGAATTGAATTTTTTTCGTGCGTTTTTGAAAAAATTGATGTCAAACTCCATATACTTTGGATCTGTTGAAAACGTTAGTATGGGCAGATGTTCCCTTTTTTTAATTTTTTTTACATACTTCTTAAAGCCTATAATGTTTTTATATGTGTACCGGCCCTGTTTGCTTTTGCACTTGCGGTAAAACAGAAAAATCAGGAACAGCTGATAAATTGAACCAAGAGACTCAAAGTACCATAGTTAACTCCAATACTGAAATAGTGCACTACATGTTTAAAATACTTGTCGTATGAATCTTGTGATACGTCTTGATTCAAGGCAGGAGCAACTGGCGCAACAATGTTTTGAAGGTTGCCTTCATACGCGAGGCCCTACAGATTCCATTCAATCATTTTGCGTGCTTCCGTCATAGTATCTGATGGAGACCGGAAATGCTTTTTCTCTGGAGCAGAAACCTTGGAATCACCAGACCACTAGATTCATTGGTCTCATCTGAATCTTCATCCTCATCCGTATCGGAACAAGTCACTACATCGTCGTTGAAAGCATTTGTTCTTTAACGTTTTTGCTTTTTTTTTGGTTGACGCCTTCTTACTAGTCGTCTTACAATTTTTCTTTTGCCACGACTCCTCTTGTTTTATTTGCCTTTGGCTTTTCTAGATCTTGTTTGACGTTAAGGTGTATCAAGTAACACACTCCTTTTAAACTAATAACTAACCTTCGTCATTGCCCAATTCAATTTCGTATGCTGTTAGAACGGATTTGATAATGCCTTTATGGCCATTGGGATCTAAATAATAAACTTGGCGTTTAGTTTTCCACATATCATCTGGCACTATTTACTTACATGCTGCTTTGAGGGCGCAGACGCTTTTTCTAAAATCACCAACAACGCCTAAATTCATTTATAGTGTTTAGCAACGGTTAATTCTTGATACACGTTGAATTTGCACGTAGTAGTTTTTGGCTAATTATACGCGCACCATACTTTTTGCTTGAAAAAAAAATCGCGCGCACCATTTTTTTCTGTCTGGTCAAATAATAAAATTCCGAGTCGGACCAAAAATAATTTTTGCACATTGGACTTTTTTCTTGCGCTGGCGCACCATGGTTTTTTTCGCTGGCGCACCATGCTATTTACTCTGGCAGACTATATTTTTTTGCTGGCGCACCATCCTTGTTTACGGCTCTTCATTCTTTTTGTTTTATTTTTTTATTTTTGAAATCGATTCAAACGATTCACAACAATCTTTGAGTGAAAGCCAATTGCTCATCAATAGTCGTCGCTTTATATATGCTTACACATGAGCGACGTCCAAAACACGTTGTAGTTTTCTTTTGCAATGTTTATTTCTCTATTCTTACTATTTAGACCGTAAAGCATGCGTGTAAAAACGAGATCGTTTTTAAAAGTAGTTCATGAAACAAAACACCAGCATTAATCAAAGTAGAAAACACGCACAAGCTGCATTTTCTACGATACTTTAAATTGGTGACTTGGGTGTAAGGTCTGGGTATGCGTACCTCATTAGTAAGAATTTTGCTATTAGATACTAAATAAACAAAAATTGATAGATGGGAAACAACTTTAAATGAATATAGGTTTTCAAGTAAATTTGTTATAGTCATTTAATAAATGGTAATTGTACACACTAGAGCATATTCGTTTACACGACAGTGATAATAATAATAATAATAACAGAAACCATCGACAGAATTGCAAATAGATTACCGTCACTAAAGCTTATTGTGATATATAGTGGATAATGGCCGTTCAATAGTAGAGACGTATAACTTACAAAAATAAAGCTATTCAACTATAAATAAAAGGCATATAATATCAGAAAATGCATAAATGGATGATAAAAATTGAAAAATAACAAAAGAAGACATAAGGTAAAATAAAATAAAAGAAAACAAGACATAGAGAAAGGAAATGAAAGCATAAGGTAGAAAAATCAATAAACGAAAAAAGAAGCATAATTGAAGAAAGAGTAATGAAGGGAAAAATAAGCATAGACACGAAAAATTATAAAGGAAAAAAGAACAATGAAGAAAAAAACAATGGGAGCATAAAGGATTGAAGCACAAGCATGACATAAGCATAGCATAAGGAGAGGAAAGGACAGTAAGGACAGGAAATGGATCATAAGGGGAGGAAAGGACAGGAAAGATAACGGACTATCTAGACAAGAAAGAAAATCTTACAAATGATTCATTTTAGGTTAGTACTGATATAAACATAGGATGGAGTACATACATTACTTAATTGTTGTCAATTCTTCTCTTCTTAAATCGCCCAGTGGCTCTGTCAGTTGTGACAGGTGTAGTCTCCTCGGGCTTGGGGTATATATGATCCAAGAGATATTGTTGAAATAAAGCTGGATCTGCGATAGGTTTATGGTCTAAAGTGGTGAGAAAAATCATTTTTGGATTAGAATCCTTTCGCATAAACCTTGCTTTTGTAGCCCGAGGGATGACCCGGGTGTGGAGTAATGTCACCAGCATTAGGCGTTCATAGAAGAGAACAATTTCCTCAAACTCCACACCCTCCGCAAGGAACAATTCCAAAAACGCCACTCTTGAACCAAAAGACAGGTATTTGTGATGGTTTAACCCCACCAGGTCCTTGATCATTCCAAGATCACCTTGCATGTCTTGACAAGGTGTTGGGATGAGCGATGACATGAGCTCGGACACCTTGCTGAAAGGGCTGTATTCCTTGGTGACATTACAGGCAAATGGTCCGGGCTCTTCGTTTTCGTCCCACGACAAATCGCTCATCCCTCCTTTTTTCGTCTTCACCAAATAACTTGACGGAAGTAACCCAAAATACTCTTCCCAAAACAGCTCCATAAACCTGGTGGCTCATTCAAAACCAAGTCCATACCGCAGCAAGATCGAGCGTGCCATGGCGTAATTAGCTATTGTTGGTTCCTTGCTGCGGTTATAGAGGCACAAATCGCGCCAGTTCAACCTCTCTGGGTTCAAGAAAGGAGCACCCCAACTCCAGATCTCAAAAAGGGGCTCTTGACCCAGCCATAGTTAAGACTGCTCACCATACAATCACTGGGTCCTTCACGAAACTCCTCCACAATTACCTGGATATTGTAGAACATCTTCTTCAGCCGTTGAAGATCGAAGGTGCCCGAAAACTCAAGAAGAGCTTCGTCACTGTTGGTGAAAGCACCTGGGATAAAGCACAGCCCGTTTGATTTGTCGCGGTTTTTTGAAACAAAATTTCGGCTGTCTGTTCTTTTGTAATTCCCAGGATGCATCAGTGAGTTCATCATAAACGATAACAGGGCAACACCGGAAAGAGAACGAATGTCTTTACGACCTTTCAAGGCCTGTGCCATCTCATCCAAGAGGTTCAGACGACAGCTGATATATGACATGTAGTCCTGCGTACGAAAATGGTAACAGGAACCAGGAATAAGGTCACTGATAAATACCTTGTTTTAATAAAGCTATATCATATAAACTTTTAAAATATTCACTCACCTGAACGTATTTTTGAAAAAGTTTACAAAATCGCTGTTAATGGTGGACGCCAAAAAACGACCTTCGGCACGCAGGGTATACTGATCTTGTTCGCTTTCTTCCAATCGAGCAGCGTACCATTCCTAGTTTTATAATTTAACACATGAAATTTAACTGTTTGCTACCTAAAGTACTTACCATTGCTTTTTGGTAAAGGCCATTGACCTGATCACGACCCGTCAAAACATTGTTAGGCTCCCAACGTTCTGCCGGGATCCCGTTGAACCCTTTTTTGCCATAAACAAACGGGATTTTTACATCACTGTAAACAATGAATTTGGATGCGTGACCAGGTTCTTTAGATTTGCTTAATGCCTTAAGACCACCGAAATTAGCCAGAACCATATTCATTGGCTCAACTTTTGGTTTTTCACCACAAAAAATGCTGGCAATACCAGTCATCTCGTTAGTCTTCACAAATGATATCAGACTATCTCCATTCTCGGTTCGCGTCTCAAAGTTGACTCCAAGATCCAAAAAAGTTGCTTACTCATCGACTTTACTCCAATCAACGGTGGATGAAAGTACATCCCGGAAGGATGTACCTCTAAATTTGCGTTTAAATCCAAACGCGCTGGTAACGAAGACAAAGTCCTTGTATTTCCCCAAACGGGATTCGTTGACGACGATCATTCTACGAAGCGTCTTCACAGTTTTGTTGAGATCGTCCCCATCAACGATATTATTAGGGACACAGCCCCGTCCACGAGAAACTGCGGCCTTGTAGCTTTTGTCCATGCGGTTAAAGTCGGACTTTTGAAGAGCTGGGAGGAGGGGCTCATCGGTAAAATCACGTTGTTCATCATCCGAAAGGAAAGCAGAAATTCTCTCTGGACAAATCATTCGAGGGAACAGGATATACACGCTCAGTTTGGCTTCGCCAGACACCAGACCAATCAAGGTCAAGGGGATTTTCTTGACCTCGTACTTATCACCTTCGTACGTGTAACACCCGTATTCGTTGCGGGTGATCTCCATACTTTTAGCTGGACAAAGGTCAATGTCCAAAGAAACATTATGCAGAATAGGAACAGTGGATGTGCAATTGGTGATAATTGCATCGATGTTAACTTCACAAGGAAGACATTGCACCTCTTCTTGAATATCTAAATCCACCGTAAATTTGACATTGGAGTCATCAAAGACATTTGTTGTCATAGCATCGAAATGCAATTCAAGCTTTTCATCAAAAGATGATGCATTTAAACAATGGTCAACGTATTCCGAGAAATTTAAAATATCTAAAATCTAAATTAATTCGAATTCTTTTTAAGTGTCGTCTTAAACTCACAATCGGTTGATGTAAGAGGCTCAATTTCTGCAGTGAATTCGGAATCAATGGCAAATTCTACAAAATCGGCTATTACAAAATATTGTGTCAGAATACAATAGAGTCAAAGAAATAGGGCATTAACTTACAGGTAATATCACAGGAAGAAGAAGTGGACATATTATCAGTATAATCAATAAGACACATTAAAAAATTTTTGGAAAAAAAGTAAAGATGAACTTGCCTTGAAAAATTTTCCCCATAATAACATTTTTTACAGATTGTGATAATTTCGTATATAGAGTAGGTGTTTATAGACGGAAGCAAGAAATGAGACTCTTTGTTCCTTTATTATAAATTGGAGAGTGTGTCATGAATAAAATTAGAGGTCTTTTTATATACGAATTTTAACTTCAGCTACTTTCTCTGCTCAGTTCTAATTAAGGTTTGACACGAGATGGTGATACCTTAATTTTAAGTACAAATCAATGTCAACATAAAGTAGAGTTTATTACTTATGTAATGTATCCTCGCTTTTGGAGTCTTTATATAAATATAATCATTCATAATTCCTTTACTTGAAGTTAAGGGTTTTAGAGTTCTTGATCAAAGTACATATGTTATAAGATTCCACAGTTACACGACAACCTGGATTTAATGTAAGATATAATCGCAGAGTAAATGTTGTGTGTTACTGGCATTGTGCCTTTAACCACTAGGAGTGATATTCACTAGAGTTCTTGTTATAACATGGTATGTGTTTTAACGAAGAGGCAAGCTAAATTGTAATTATATTCGGTTTAATAGGAGTAAATACGACACAGATTACGGCCTAATTTGTCGAAAACCTGAGTCAGTCTCCATAATAAAACTCTTACAAAAAAAAAAGAAAAAAAAACAGACCATGTGCTGTTTCTACAAAATAATTTTGACAGATAAACTATTTGAAATGGCGAATACTTCTTTTAGGATACGCAAGAACCTTGAACTGTGAATGCAGAGCTCATGTAATGTTTAATTATTCTTGCTACTATATTTATAGGTACTATTTTTTGGTGTGCTTGTCCATCTGGTGTCGATATAATGTTCATGTAATTATATATATGTAGTGCCATAGAAGTACGTAAAAATTATCAGCTTTTTCAACATCAGTTATGTACAGACACAAAGAATTGGTTTTAATTTACTCGCAGTCTAAAGACTATTGTTACACAAACGTTATTTTTCTCCCATTCCATCGTGCCTTTCACATTTAAACTTTTGTAAAATAACTGATAATAAATATAACAAGTTTGATCCAACGCAAAAAGGAATAAGCGCTTCGCTGATTTACATAGAGTGCATCTGCTTTTTGGTTGTACCTAAAAAAAATTTAAGCAGAGACAAATATTTAGGTGGGTAAAACACATTTTCCTTATAATTAGTATCCCATCTGAAAGGTTAGGATTGTTTTTAATGTTGATTAAAATGAGAATCTACATATATCAAATTAAAATACAATAACAGATTATGGATTCATCGTTTTTTTTAGGTGCGGGCGGGGAAAATATGTCACAACCTCTACAAAAATGTTTTTAGGCCAATAATAACCTGCTGCTAAAATCATTAGCCGGGCTCGGACTTTGAAATAACCCAATGTTTGTACTCACGAATTTGAAAACCGCGAACAGACTATTTAGTCGTAAGAAATCGCTTGAAACACCTTCAATCTTTTTTGTGTACTTAGTCCAAATACTTAAATTTTAAAATATACATTAAAACAAATATTCTTAAGATGCGTGACCCTTCTTAAATTAATATATCTACTGAAACTTTTGAAATATTGATTTCAGGTTGTTTGGAGACAGCCTATGAAATCGCAGCCAGAGGCCCAATATTACTTCCACTGAAAAAGTTTCTTGAAAAAAAAAATCCCCCCCCCACATAAAACAAATCTGGCTATGAATCAATTTCCTTTTATATTACTTGTACTAGTCGGAGATGAATGCTCAAAAATGTCACAAAACACGTTAGGAACTACTTAAAAGCAGATGCACTCTAAAAAAAATATATTGGGCTTACGCCAGTTTTATTTGGTTATGTGACTTAAATTTGCAAATCTATCTGCAGCGTTTTGTTTCGGTGAGCCCCTGTTCTTCATCGCTGTATCCTTCTCTGGTATCAACGTTTTGGCGTCTTTTTCCTTTATTAGAAAAACCATATCTTATAGCTGCAGAGGAAGAAGTGTTACGACCAGTAGTAGAAGGAGTAGGATCAGCATAAGAATCATAATCATCGTCATGAGAATCATAACCATTGTCATATCGATTTCGGCCAAACTCTCCCCAGCCAGAACCCTCGAAGCCTTCCAAGTACTCTTCAAATATAATCTTGGGTCTATTGTTATACGTTGGTCTTTCCTATATCAATTCCTTTTCTAAATTTTGAGTAGTTCTTTTATATGAAGGAAAGGTGTTATTTTTTAAAAATGTGTAAAGTAATCATTAATATTACCTGGTGCGTTGGTCGTGGTCAATCACAGTAGGATTGCCGAAAACAATAGCCTTGTTTCGAGCTCTATTACATCGAAACTTGTGAGTTTCGGACAATAACAAATTTGCAGCCCAAGAACTTTCACATCGACGCAAAGGAAAACCGAGCTGAATTGCATTACTTTCTACAATATAGGCGTATTTTGAAACCATCTCAGAAGAAATGTTTGACCAAAGAGGTAAAATAGCCTGTGAATTGTTTTTCTTCAGCTTCTTCAGGATTTCTTCTGTCAAGTCATCGTGAGTTTTTCTGGCCATAGTTTTGAGTATTATAGTCTCTTGTGTTTGCCGGGTCATCGATATCCAGATTACAAATGTTATTTTCCTTCTTTAAATAGTTGATAAGGGCGAGTAGGCGGAGGCGAGCAGGAGGATAAACGGGTTTTTTAGTAGAATTGCTGGCCTGTGATGCTTCTTTAAGTAGCTTTCGAATGTCACGCTTACCCAAAATATCTGGGTTTAAAGAGTTGGCAACACCAGTTTGGTTTGCTGACAGATAAAAAAAAAAGAAAAATGCAGTACTAATTAGTTAGCTATCAAGTAAACGACAATACTTCTTTTATGTAATACCTTGCTTGCTGGCTTGTTGTGCCTCGTTAGTTATTGTGCCATCCATGGGTTAAGCAAAAGATGGAGCCAAAAGATGCATAAGATCCTTCGGCATTTTGTATTGACGATCCATTTTGCTATTCAATTTAGAAACGTCTTCTTCCAATTTGGAAATTCTAAAGACAGTAGCAGAATTGTTCATTTTCTAAATAAAGACAATTTTAACGATGATTGTTCGAAAAAAAAATTGCTCTTTATATATACGTCTACTGTAAAGCACCTGGACCATCCATCATGGAAATCATCATATGCGGTCGGCGTGTAGACTAAAAAAAGGTTGTATGCACTTTTTTATCGTTATCTGATTGGTAACAATCACGTCAGTATGTAAATATTCCAAAGAAATGATGTCTGCCGATTGGTTAGGGTTAGAAAATAAACATATACAAGCGACGTTAAATAAAAAACAATCTTTATTTCCAGACATGGTAGTATATGTATATATCATCACCATTAGAACAGCCAAACATTACCTACTATTGTTGTCCTTAAAATATTGTATCATTGCACCAATCAACAGGAGCAATTTGCATTGGGTTCATTTCTTTCGGAATCACTTCTAATTGAATAGAGGATATACAGGAGAGAACATTGTGGTGACCTAGCAAGGCTATAGCCATATTAGAGCTAACAAAGGTTTATCCATGCTGATACCATTTGTGATATAAGCTTAACAATAAATATCATAGTAAGAACTATAAGGATATTACATCACAAGTCTAATTTAGTACGTCTGAGAAATACTTAAAATTTAGTTTAAAGCAAAGACAATTAAGAAGACTTAACATTTATTAGAACAAGACTAAATTAGTGACTATGTAATAATCGTATACATTTTTGGTTAATCAATGATAACTTCAAGATAGCACTAGAGATATGAACACAGCAGACAGTCTTTTATATAAATACTCGTATATTTCATTTATTAATAAAGGACAATCTTATAAACAATCTCAAACTACTCCTATAGTCTTTTTATAATTTTTACTTTACCTTAAAACACAACACACTCTATTTATCACAATGAACGGTACCGAAAACTCAATTTCTCGAGACGACGTCATTGAAAAACTCGTTAATGCCATTTACGATATGCAAAGAAAGCTTGATGCGATGCCTGCCACAATGAAAGAATATATCTACCTACCAGTTGGTCAACACTGTGAATGCTGCAGCAAGGTTAAGAAAGTGGTCAAATCCAATGGTACTTCTGCAATTACTTCTCGATCTGGATATATCACTGGTACGTTTTTATTTTATTTTACTTTGTAAGACGAATTAAGTTAATAATTGCCCTATCTTTTCGGCAAGAAATTCCGCTGCTCAACAAATGTACGAAACCGTGGTCAAGGCTGTCGCCTATTAAAAGGAGCATGTTATACCCAATGGTATTCACACCTCTTGCAATTCTCTCGGTGTAAGATTTATCAACGTATGTGCTTACACAAAGAAAACCGTTATAGACACGGTTGCTGCGTACTGGAGATCTTTGGCAGGTACCTATACTGAGGATCAAGCTAAGGAAAGGGCAACAGCAGCTTACAACAATGTCTTCACCATTTGCCAACATTTCTTGAAAGCATTGTACCAAGAACAATTTGGAAAGAATGGCGTCATTTGGAGGGGGATTCCTGCAAACGAGCAGAATGAAGTACTGTACATGTTCGAAAGAATTGCGTACTTTTGGAACAAGCGCTCTGGCTTGAACGTTGGTACACCCGTCGAGGCATATCCTGGAGACCTTATCTCTGTCATTGACGCCGAGAATCCTATGCTACCCATGCACGTCGCCGATAAAAACTGGATATCCAAAAATATGATCCAGATAATGTTGAGGAACTCAGCAAGAGTAAGTAAAGTTTAGATATCAAATTAAGAATTTTTAACATTAACATAAACCTCAACTCTAGCCAGATGACATTGCTCATGATGCCTCGGGTTCATTTTTGACTGGCCTGGAAATCCTTGGTGTCAATTCGGTTACTGAAGAGAGGTACGAAGACTTGGATATGGGCCTGTTTGAAAATTTATTTTCGATCCCTGATAACAGACCTCTTGCACCATCGTCTCTTCCTCCCTCTGAGATGCCTCCTCCTCCCACCTCTGCACCTGCTGTTTCCACCCCAAGTACTACCTGTCCAGAAGGTAAAAGAAAGGCTGATGAAATAGCATCTGGGACCAATAGTCGACCCTCAAGGGCTTTCCAAAAACAGAATTGAGCCTAAATTTTTTTTTTCTTATTTAAACTCTGATTTTTTTATTATTTTTTTCTTTTTTCTTTCTATTTCTTTCAAATAAAAATTCAACTTAAGGTTTGTATATGTGTATAGTTTGTGAATATATGAGTTATCATAAACATTTGTTTACGAATGAAGATATAGTTATGTGACTAATCATTAAACGTGCTGACACTGTCCAAACGGATTAAACCAAGACTCTTTGCTTTAAAAGTCAATTCAGTTACTCTTTTCATATGTATTAACACATTTGTATAGCTGAAGCCATCTCTACTTTCATCGCTTGTGAAAAAGTAAATATCTCGACTTTGGTTTATGTGTTTATTATTAGTTAACCCGAATTCCTAAAGCTAGCTACTATCGTTGTTTATTTGAGGCTCGTACATCCCACGGTTTTGTAAAGGTACACATTGCTAAACTTGATAATTTATTCTCTTATTAACGTAAACCATCTTTATGCAGGTAAGTGAATACTGCTGCTCTTCTGAGGTCTTCGTATGGTCACTATCATAGTTCCTCTCATTATGTCTGTCTCTGGTCATATTTTACTGGTCATTTTCTCTATTTAAAGAGGTCTATCATGATCAGATTCGACGTTATTTAGTTTTTTTTTATAAATAAATTTTTTTTTCCAATATATACAAACGTATCATTTTAAGCCTGTATCCTGATTCAGCAGGGGTGTAAAAGTAATATTATATCGATTATCGATTACCCCATTTTTTTTACCCCATCCAACGATATTTTTTTGTTTTTTTATTTATGGATGGATATCGTCAATCGCGATATTTTGGAAAGTTTGATCGATATTGCCAATAACGATATTTTAGAAAATTTTATCGATATCGCCAATCGCGATATTTTTAAAAAAAAGATCGTCATTTCCGCTCTAATTTGTTAGCGATATTTTTCAATTTTTGATTGCCGATTTATTTTAGGGTGAACGTACGATCTTCTCTTGGCAACTTCCAAATCATGGGAGAAATTGTCCACCCAATTTCGAAGACGACGCCGGTTGCTTAAGACCTCACTTTGGGAGTGGTCTTTAAACTGTCTTTCCGAGTTGTTGTTTCTGGTGAACTGGATGTGCTTAAACAAGCAGTACGCTTGCATTGATACCCCATCCAAGTGGTGACTGACACCAGCAGTAGAAACTTTAACGCACCCATGTCATTTTCATTACCAGCGTCTTCAACGACATGCTTCGTGGCTGCATGAATTTGATTGGGTTCGTCAATAATTAGTTTAAAGCTTCTTGCCCAATAACACAGGTGGCAGCACTCTAAAAGTTTAGTGGGGTTGCTAGACAGTCTAAGTCCATGATCGTTTGGACAGCAGGTATCAAACGATGATTGAAAAACATATACGGTTGTTCTAAGTCAATTGCAAAACCATCGTTGCACTTTGGCAATATGTAACCGGCTCTCGATCCCACTGTAAGGCGTTCGCACTACTTCAAATCAAGTTTGTATCCTTGTATACAATGACCAAGTAAGTGGACCGTATCTGTTTAAACCAATTCTAATATAACTTACTAACTTGTCACCGGTTTTTCTTAATAATCATTCGGCAGGTGTTTGAAATTGCATCGAACAAAATTAATTTTATCATAGTGTTACTGACACCACAAGTCTTTCTAGATGTCTTACTTAAATTTTTCTATAGAATATATGGCAACGTTGATTAAATTGTAACAGTTATACATTATGATTTAATAAGTAGACGCCCGAATAAAAAACATATTTGAAAATAGTTTTGCCTGTCTTCATAAATCATTGTCAGCATGACACGTCATATTAACACCTATCTTTTTTACTGGTCATTAATACACTGGATAGATGGGATACGAACAAATGCGATGACCATAATAGTTTTAACAATAGTCCTACCTTGTATACTTTACATAAATTCAATTTTTTAAAAACATTCTTTGCATATTTGTCACAAAAAGTTCAAATTGTTACATTTGTTCTCAAGCAAGTTACTGTCATGAAAGAAACTCTACCACCATGCACTTTTATTATTTAAGACGTGGGTTTTTATTATTGTTTTATTTGAGCTTGATACATTGTTATGAAAAAAAGGTATAGACTACGTAAAAGGTGAGCCTAAACTACGATGAATTATCAAATTGAAAAAGAATAGCGATATAAATAATGACAATGTCTCACGCATTACCCGCAATTTTTGTCGTGACGTCATATTTTGTTTAGAGGGTCAACCTCGTGATAGGTTTATGTTTATTCTAAATAAACAGCACAGCGTGTTAGATACGTGACAGATTATAGGAATAAACTCAGACTAAACATATAACCCTTGTTATATCATTTGCTAATCCTTGTGGATCCTTACGAATAATATTTATACGTCCTGTAGAGTGCATCTGGACTTCAATGTGCCAAAAAAAAAATTTAAGCAGAGAGAAACGTTATAATTGGACCACCACACATT